ACGACGATAGAAACTATCTAGTTGCATCTTCTGAGATATTGCTGGCTTCCAGATAAATCTGGATGATGAAGATGAAGATGATGATGACGATGATGATGATGATGATGATGATGATGATGATGCCATAGAATCTTTTGGATTCTTCAATGATTATGAGAGGGTGTTGGCTAGCGAAATAGGGGTATGATTTAGGTCGATCGATCGATCGATCGAAATTTAGAATGCTTTTTCCATGTACCAAATTATCTTTGACTTTGGGCTATACCAGTTATACGCGATATATAGTAAAATTCTTATGGCTTGAAATTCTCGAAAGGATATTATTGTTATAAAAAATCTTTTAATCTTCTACAAAGTTGAATCTAATAAATCCGCCAAATATAATCTAATAAAGGAGATACGTTTGCTATAATTTTTTTTTTAACAATAAATTATCTATCACTGTAACATGAAATTACGTATCTTCGACGTGATTAATTTAACGACGTTAAAATGTAAAAAAAAAAGAAGTACAATGTCTAAACGATCTAAAGATGTCTACTCGTGTCTTGGAAAAAAAACAAAAAAAAAAAAAAAGAAAAAGAAAAAGAAAAGAAAAGAAATACTTCGATACACGTACAACAATCCCTCGAAATAAATTCGAACGAAAAATTAATGACATAAATCCAAGGATGTGATATATATATACATAAAAAAAAAAAAAAAAAAAAAAAAAAAAAAAAAAAAAAAAAAAAAAAAAAGGAGAACTTAAAATAGCTCCTCGAGAAATAATTCTTTTTTGAGAGAGAAAGAGAGGAAGGTTCTCTAGTTGCCGTTGATTCTCCCAACATAAGGTGCACGTACGTCGACTGTTATTCTAGCGAGGAAAACCGGTCGAGTTATCGTTACGAGTTTCGAGTTACTCCCCTCCACTGTTAGTATATAGTAGTAGTAGGGAAGAGACGTCTAGAACTTCGTCCGTGCATTCTTTTTTTTTTTTTTTTCTTTTTTTTTCTTTTTTTTTTCTCTGGTTTCACTTGCGCTTGCACGTGCGCCACGTGACGTGAAGCGTCACAGCTGTCATACGCGCCTAGTTTCTCTTCTTCTCTTCTTCTCTCTCCCTCTTTCTCTCTCTCTCTCTCTCTCTCTTTCTCTTTCTCTTTCTTTTTTTCTTGCTCTCTGAGGGGGGTAGAAAGAAGAGACCGATGGAAAGACGAAGAAAAGAAGCGGTTTGTGGTACGGAGAGTACGAGGAAGTGTCTCGTGTGTCCCGATTGCGTCCCTACTTTTAACCCCTCCCCCTCCCCCTACCCCACCTTACCCCTCATCGCTTATCCCCTTCGCTCTTCACATCCCTTTCGTCGGACATACGATATTGAGAACGTGTATCGCGTGCGTTCTCTCTATCTTCGTCTATCTTCTTCTCTTTTCTCTTCCTCCTCTTTCTTTTTCTTAACTAATGGCGCGTAGATTATCGGCACGCACAACTTCTACGCTAGCGGCAACAGGTTAGATCATCGGGACATTCGATACACGCTGAGAAGACGTACATACCTATTATTCCGTTACGTAGAATGAGTTTTCTTTGCTTCTACTTCTTCTACTTCTTCTACTTCTTCTTTTTCTTAATCTTCTACTACTACAATTTCTTTCACTTCTATTTCTTCTATTTGAAATATTATGTCTGTATAGATAATACACTTTTTTTCAATTAAAATTATATAATCGTAGATTTCTTTTTTGTTTTTTAAATTATTTCGAATCTACGTTACAAATAGAAATTCATTCCTATCTAATCACCTTAGATTATTTTTAAATTAAATATGTGGATTTGTTATCGTATCGAGGATGTTAGATGAAAAAAAAAAAAGAAATAAAATAAAAAGAAAAAAGAGAGATAGAAATATAATAATTAATTATATTGCGTGGAAAGTTATACTATTGGAAAAATATTGAATTAATCAACGTTATAGTCAATTTTGATATGAGATATTGAAAATTTTGTTATATTATTTATTATTGAACAATTCAATAATTGAATGCAAATATTGATTTTGGTTTTAACAGTTCGAATGAATTTTCAATAATTATTTCTACTTATGTTAATGATTCTTCTACGTTGAACTGCTGGAAGAAAAATGAAAGAAGATTCTTCTTACCGTTTTTAGCTCGAAGCAAACAATTAAGATAACTTCGTCGACATTGATTCATTTCTTTCAACTCATGTTGAAAGCTTAAAACCAATTTAATTTTGGGAGGTACGTAGTAAACGTTGTTGTAGATTTGTTAACCAAAAGGAGGAAAGGTTCTTGAGTTTGAAAAATATTTTTTTTCGAGGTCGCAAAAGAGAGAGAAAGAGAGGAAAAGGGAGTAAGAGAGACAATCTCTATATGCTATATCAATAAGTATTTTCAGTTAGAAGCTTAGGCTAATCGCAAGAAAAGATAATTCGTTAGCAGATAGTCTCCAGAGAAGAAGAAATCTTACGGGGGTTTTTATGTTATTTCCTTCCATCTTTCTCGCTCTTTCTTTCTCTCTCTCTCTCTCTCTTTCTCTCTCTCTCTCTTTCTCTCTCTCTCTTTCTCTCTCACTAAAGTGACAAAGCAAAATAATCCTTAGTGAACACCTGGCAAAGTGCAAACAGCCCAACGGGAAATGCAAATCTTTTGATCTCAGTCTTACGTGCAAGTACGTCATCGTATTTAAAATCCGTATCTTAATTTTAGAAGGTATGTCAATATTTTATTTTCATTTTTGAGTTTGCTCAGCTAGATGATTTTTCTCGCTTCGAATAAATTTTCGATATGGAAATATTTTAAATTATTTAGAATCGAATCTATTGAAATGTTTAAATTTTATCATAACAATTATTAAATTTTTCTATTGACCAATATCGAATTAAAATTTTAAATTAATCGATAGAAAAATGTTAATTATGTATATATATATATATACAATATTTATTCCTGTATATCACACAAAGTATATTTAAGAATATGATTATGAAAATTAACATTTTATTTCACACATTTTTGAATCAAAATTAGAATTCAATACTATGATTGAAAATTATTATTCAATACTAATTGTGAGTATCTATTTACATTTTAGTATTTAAAAATTATATATAAGTGTAATGGTTACAGAAAAGAAAAAAAAAATGAATATTTGCTACGTGTCCTTACGTAATTAATGCAACGACTAAGTTAATGCGCAAACATAAATCATTTAACAAACGTGCATCACGAAGAATGCAGGTATAATGGATCAAGCCGGTCTTGGAGGACCCTCGTGGGAATTTACTTAATTGCAATTAATGAGAAGAGATATTACAGCGCAGCAGGGTCACGCGTGTTAAAGATTATTAATGCGTGGGCACACACACACGTACAAAAATGTACGCACAAATTCACAGAGATAGACACATATACATACACAGAGGATTAACGCTCGTAAATTTATAGTCTGCATTATATTTTTGTCGGTCACGATAATCGAACTGAAATTATAAATTTTTTTTTTTTTTTATATAGAAGTAATAACTATATCTTTTCATTCCTTTACACGTAACACAATAGGATGTATTTTAACATAACAAAAAAATCTTATATTTAGGATTGTTTTAATACGAAATTATAAAGAACAAAATATAAAATCGAGTTGCACAATTTTTTTCGAGTATCAATCTTTAAAATAATCTCAAGACTAAACGAGTTCCATGTAAAAGTGTATGTCTTCCGTATAAGCACTTTCTCTCTTTCTCTCTCTCTCTCTCTCTCTCTTTCTTTCTCATATACAGACAAATACATACGCAAGATAATACTCGCACGCGCGTAACGTGGACCGACTCGTAGACGGCTGCCTGCACATAAGTAACGCGGCTGCCACGTGGTGGAAAGAGGTAGAGAGAGAGAGAGAGAGAGAGAGAGAGAGAGAGAGAGAGAGAGAGAGAGAGAGAGAGAGAGAGAGAGAGAGAAGAAAGAAAGAGACAGAAAGAGAAAGAGAAAAAGAAAAAGAAAGAGAGAGAGAGAGAGAGAATCGAGGCACGGCGCGAGGCGGCTCGTCTGATTGGTTGAATTTATGGGGTCTACTTATCGCGTACTTACCGCGTTGTATATCAACAATGACACCCGCACCCGCGGGCGCTCCTTTCCGTTCCTTCCACCACCCCTCTCGGCCCTTTTACATCCCCCACCCTTTAACCACTTCCAACGCTTTGGTCGTGCTCGCTTTCTCGCCATATCTTCTATCTCTCTTTCTTTCTTTCTTTCTTTCTTTCTTTCTTTCTTTCTTTCTTTCTTTCTCTTTCTCTCTCTTTCTCTGGTCTTTTCGTGTTGCTCTCAACCCAACCGAGGGATTTACAGTGGGTAAAGTGAGGGTAAATGGCTTCGTACGATTTAGGATCTGGTCAAGCTGGTGGAACGAATAAAAAAAGAAAGAAAAGAGAAAGATAAAAAACACAAGTAAATCGTCCGAGAGGACCGAATTGCCGATTCTTGTGAAATTTACAAGTGTGTGCGTGTACGTGTCCAGCAAAGGAAGAAGTCACGATGAAGTCCTTCGATCGATCTTCGAGATAAAGATAAGATTTATTTTTTTTTACATTTATATGTTCTAAAAAATTTTCATATAAAGTTAAATTTTCCAATATGATAATGAGAATATCGTCGTAATGACGATATTATTTTTTTTACGAAACTCGTGAATCGTACTCGTAAATCTATATCTTCGTTTTGTAAATAAAAGCCGAAGAAAAAAAATTTTACTATTATGTTATACAGTAGAAATGATTTACGCATTTAAAGAATAATATTTTCCTAAGGCATCGATAATTTGCATTTTTGGGTTCTAACTCGAATGAATTTTCAAGTCAAATCAGGTATACCAAGATATGTTTGTAAAATGGACACTGTCGGGACAGTGTTTCCTGAGGCATCGATTCGGTAGATACCAAGGATACATAGGATCATCAATGTTTGGGAACTTAAGTTGAAGGGGACCAGGGTGATGCACACACTATGCTGCAATAAACAATTTATTAATGAACGAACCGATACAGGCTCGACTGAATACGAATGTCCAGACGGTCATAATTAAGACACGTGTCCCGACAGTATTGAATGGGCTCCTGGATATCCTGAAAGAGAGAATGAGATAGATATAGAAAGAGAGAGAGAGAGAGAGAGAGAGAGAGAGAGAGAATAAAAAGGACGGTGTTGTCTTCAGGACGTATACTTGAATATATCGTGGGCGCCAGGAAACATCCGTCACGTGTCAAAGTCGTGAATCACGGAACAGGAAATCTCTCAACCCTCGTGACTTCCAATCGAATTTCTTTTGAAGGACCCGGAACAACGGTTAGGCGCCAGTTGTCTTATTGTTAATTAACGACTCCTTCGATGCTATCGATCGTGTCGATTGATTGTACTTAAATGTAAGATTTTAGATTCGATTTTGATGTAACTAACATTAATCTTGATTATCGCAATATTTAATAAATTTTAAATAAAATGATTAATAAGATGTACAAATGTACTTGTATTATTATATCAATTAACGTGTCTATTAAAATTTATCTAATATTGTCTGATAAAATGATTTATTCGAATAAAAAAACTGATGAATTAAGAATGAAATTAATTTTTCGGCACTGTGTGATGTTCACTCCGCGACGATTTAATGTTAACTAACGTGTAAAGGAGAAGTTATACGAAGAATAAACATAAAGGTTATATTGACATTCGTCTAGGACGGATTAAACACAGAGATCATACTATCTCTCTCTTTCTCTCTCTGTCTCCGTCTTTCTCTCATAACAAAATTTACTACGTACGAAGAACAACAAAACGAAGGATCGACGTAGTAAATTTATATTCTTATTATCTCGTAACCTTCATGATCGTTATAAAGGTTACACGCGAGATATACAAAGCAATCGCTTTCCTTTACAGTTTATTATTAACATTCGTCTAGAGCGGTACGTTGGAAGAGAATTAATGGAAAATTAGTTTAACAATTAGTGTTATCAATAAGTGTTCCTTTTTACGAATATAGATAATAGATATTTTGTTTTAATTTTGATAAAATCGTACAATGTAAAATCGTACGTGAATGAACAATCGAGAGCAGTATTGATTTATAAATAATTTATAAATAAAATTCGTATTTTTAATAGTTAGACAAAATTTGATCGAAATAGCATACTTATCTAGCATTTTCTTTTTGTACTTTCTCTTTTTCTTTCGACTTTCCGTGTAAAATCACATCGAGATCAAGTCGGTGATCGTCAAAGGTTTGTAATATAATATTTTTGGGTAGGATTGTAACATGGCACCTACTACCGGCCACATCTCCTTCCCGAAGGATAATATCGCAGAATCCTGCTGAGAACGTTTGGTCAAACAATGGAAATACGAGACTCGTCGTAGGTAGATTCTAATTGTTTTCGATGCATTAGGTTAACACGAAGTGACAAAGAAAAATTCAGCGAACTGCAAAGGAGAGAAAGAAGGAGAGACAAGAAATCGTTTGTCTTTATTGAATTTTTTAATTATTCATTATCGAAATTATTTTGCAGATATGCATAATAATAAATACAGATGTACGTAATAATTATCTTTTAAAATTAGATCATAAGTGTATTATTCCTTTGAAAGGATTCAACTAATTGACTAAGTTGAAAATAATTTTCTTTCTTTTTCCTTTTTTTTTTTTTTTTTTTTTTTATCTAGTTACAACATCTATGACAGAAAAGATCTTAAAAAATGTGATATTCTCGAAAAGATTCGAAGGAAAAAGAAAAATTAAATGTTAAAACAAAGATGTTAATCAATTTTTACAAATATAACTTATTCGTTATTAAAATCATTGTCTCTTAATGTCATAATAATTATCTGTTAAAATTGCAACCAAATTGTGCTTTTTAAAAAGGGTTGAACATCTTTGAGAAACTAAAATTGAAAATAATTTCTAACATTTAAGAAACCCTAACTCAAACACCTGGTCTAAAGATCTTCGAAAATCTACCTATATGCAATTTTCGAAAAGAGAAAGATTACAGGTTACCTCCAAGAAGAGTTTAGCGTTCGACGTTCATTCAGAGTTTCATCTTTTTGACGTTTGATACCATGAAAGGTTTATCATTTTCCGGTTTCTGTCGATGGCAAGAAAAAGCAAAAAACAAAAAAAAAAAAAAAGAAAATATAACCTTCGTGTCTTTTTAATTTATTTATTAAATTTATTATTTTTTTTTTCTTTTTTTTTTTTTTTTTCAAAGAAATTGCAGAAGAAGTTCGACGAATCATTTCGTTTTGCGAATGAACGACTCTATTGTTTCGTTTCCATGAATGATTTACGCACGAAATAGCAGGCATATGAATGGGCCGTTTGTGTTGCTACGAGTTTGGAATTTCATTAGGGGGAATTTCAAACGTCGAGAAGAGGAGACCCTTCGAGGGTATATGCCCTTTCGTCGAGGCGACACATTTCCCATTTTTAAGCTAATCAACGGATACACGTATAGCTCGTTGTCTCGTTTCATTTTCACAGAGAAATATCCATGCCAGGTTGTAACGAAGATATGTTGATTTACATGCAGAAACGTTTAAACGATTCCTCCTTTCTTTATTTTTTTTTCCTTTCTTTTCTTGTTTTTTTTTTTCTTCATTTTTCTTGTTTTCATTTTCCTTCCTTCCTTTTTTCTCTTTCTCGTCTTCATCGACATGCCATAGGACGTTTCGAAGATCGTAATCGATGGATAGATGTTTAAGCTGTTAAAGCTTTTGTGCGACTTTTTGCCACTATAACTTTTTTGTATTCATTGGTTGAAGTTTCTTTTTAAATGTGACAAGATTTTACGTTGGATCCTTCGATCGTTTTTAATTTTTATTGCTTTGGCTTCGTACCGAACATATTTCTTCTTTTTCCTTTTTTTTTTCTTTTCTTTTTAGAGAGAGAGAGAGACAGAGACAGAGAGAGAGAGAGAGAGAGAGAGAGAGAGAGAGAGAGAGAGAGAGAAAAGATAAGAATTGAAACGGATATAAAATACGTCATGGTTTTGATTTCATTTTTCAAAATTTTATAACAATTACAGTAATCAATGCGTTGATCATGACGTTTCAAAGTTTCTCATGATTATCTTTAAATTGCATGGCTTTCAATCGAGAGGGAGAGATGACGGGGGAAGAAAAAAAAAAAAGAATAAGAGAAAAATGAGAAGACAAATGGCCCATTGAAACGGAACGAATTTTTGAAAAATTTCTATGGTTATGTAACCTTGTATTATTCACGGAAGAGACACGAAAATATAAAAAGGATTTTTCCGAGTTTGCACCTTGCAATAATTATGGTCCTAGAATGGGATGTTGAGGGTAGTCGAAAATTACATTGTAAGATAATTTTGAGTTCTAGCGAAGGAAAAGAACAGTGGTCCTTTCGGACCTGTAATCACGAGCAATTACGTAGTTTGTGTACCTCCCATTAAATAGACTTAGGACCAAGGTAGTTCAACAGTCACGGTGACCTTTCCAGATACACATATAAATATATATATACATATATATATTGAACACCTTCTTCTTTTGCTCCTCACGAGAGACGAATTTTTTAGACCGTTCTTTTCTGGAAAATTATCTAAGATCTTTTAGGAAAAAAAAAAAAACATAGTAATCTTGGTATATAATATATATTAACTTAACCATCATTTTTGGCTGTTAAAAATGTGTCTCTTCGACGTCCATTTTAGATATTTCAATTTTAAAAAGATAAAAAGAAACGAAAAGAAAAAAAAAACAACAAAAACAAAAATATGCGTCTTCTTTTTATCATCACGATGGTGTCTTCGAGTGTCGAGCACGTAAAAGGGTATTTAATATCACGAAAATTTTCATGATATATACGTGTTACGCTACATTAATGATTGAGTCGAAGAATTTTATCGAGGCATTTTATCGGCAAGATAATTGGAGCGACGATCGAAGATAAATTACAACGTGATGTAATGTTAAAAGATGAAATTCCAAGAATGGCCATTTATAATACAAACTTTTACATGATATTATAAAGATGAGATGGGATCATCGATGCCTCATTAACGTCCTTAATAAGCTTCAATTTACATGAGTTATCTCGTATCGATAACCTAGAATTATCGTAAACCTGATTTTAATTCGGCTATAGTTAAGATTTTATAAGCTAGGAAAGATACATTACGTTAATAGTTTATCATAAAAAGGAATATTTGTATAAAATTTACACGAATGGATTTAAATTTAGAGAATACCATAGATCACTCCTAAAATAGTGCTGACCGTAAGACACATCTGTTCGCAAGATTGCCAATTGAAAATCGAAGGGAACGATCGATAAATTTCTTTCAATTATATAGTAGATATTTACACACACACACACACATATATATATATATATAGCATACGATATTAATTATTAAACGGTTATTACATCGATGATACACAATATCGGCGTTGTTACTTATCAAGGTGAGTATATGTGCTCGAGCAACACATATCGAGAATCGATTTTCCAGTCAAATCGATTGGGCGTTGCGTGTAAAATCGATCTTAAATGTATCCATATACGAGAGTGTATACACTATAAGTATACACACATAACATGTATATACACACATATATATATATATATATATATATATAACATAAGTATATAACTTTGCTTCTCTGAATAAGTTGAAGTCATTCAATTAAACGATTCTTCGATATATTTTATATAAGAGTACGATACGAATAAAAATGAAGAAGAAAAAGAATTTAAAAGATAAGTAAATAAAATAAAAAATAAGGAAATAAAAAAGAAAAAATATTTAAGAAAAAAAAAGAAAAAAAAATAAAAGGAGCAACGGCAGGTGAAGTAACTGCTATGAGATGGCAGAAAAGAGGTGGCGGAAGAGGGGTTTAACGCGACACGTGTGCCATGACGTGTGAATTTTTACGGTGACTCCCAGGTAACGTTTAACGAAAAAAAAAAAAAAATAAAAAAAAAAAAAATAAAAAATAAAAAAAAATAATAAAAAAAATAAATCAAAATAAAATGAGATACAATAATAAAAAAAAAAAAAATAATAATGGCGAACGCGTCAGTTCGGCGCCCTTGTGATACCGTAAAAAGAGAAGGTATAATTTACATATACTTATAGTGATTTATTTTCTTTATCGTTCATGCTTTTGAATGTGCTTTTATGGTACGAAGAAATGCTTCGACTTGAGCATATATTCTTTTCGATGAGGTTTCAAAAGTTTATCTACATGTATGTATATATATATATGTATATATATATATATATATATATATATATATATATATATCTGCGTATCTTTTATTAATTTGTATATCATAAAATGATAGAATGAAAATTACTGAAAAAATATTTAAATATATCTATATTAATTATATATATATGGAAGGATTTGATTGAGTATGATGTTAGATTTAAAAATATGTATAGATCTAAATCCTCTTATACTTAAACGAAAGAGGAAGTTCGTCGTAGTCCTCGTTAGTATGAATTTAATTATCATAAATTGTATATATGAAAATTGAAAAAAATGGAAATAAGTATATATATATATATTTTCTTTTTTTTTCGTGGTAGTTGTGACGATAATTATATTTTAAATATTTTATTTGTTCATG